GACTTAGAATTGATCGAATGACATGGTTCGGCCATGCAGGCGTGGTCCCTGCTGAATGTTATCTTATATCTTCTATTCATATTAAACACATTGTTCTTTCTCTAGCTTAACTTTGTTCTACATCATGTATTGCTAATTGATACGATACAGTGAGTTGGTGTAGTCAATGGTGTGACTTCCACGTAAGATCTTATAGATTAGGCAGTTATATCATGACAAATCTACAAATTTAGGAATAGGTCTATTATTAAAGCAGTACTAATATCATAGTAGACCATAATTCTACAAACATACTAGGTGTGACTTACCTGTTAAATACGTTCGGTAGTGCCTTCACTACTGCGAGGAAATTGTGCACGTGTGTTGTTTACGTCGTGCTTGTTGGAGTCAGCCTCTGCGCTGCAGAACCAGGCTTTGATATTGTCTAACTAAAACGGCATTAATCAAAATGAAGGTGGAGTAATGTCTTTAACTTCAGTACTTTAAGTGCCCGTTCCGTCGTAGCGAATAAGAAGTATAGAAATGAACCAGGGGAAGAAAAACACCTAAAATACGAAAAAATCGCAGTATATAAAAATTAAAGTAAAGAAACTATATATATAGTTCCAAATACAAACAGATTCACAGTTCATAAACGGATGTGCCGAATCATGTCGAGTTCGTATTCGTCTTCTGATTAATATACCGTTGGGGCGTTATCTAGTGATGGTTATCAAGACAAACTCTATGCGAAGTTTAAAGATAATATTGAATACCGACCACAACAAACTCTTAGGCTCAAAGGATACTCAAAACTGTCCTTTCCTTTAGATAATGATATGTATTTTAATCGATATTCATTATGATAATTAATTCTAAATATTAACTACTTGAAATAAAATTTACTAAGATGCGGACAAGGGGAAAACCAAGGTCCTCAAATACAACACGGAGAACACCAACCCAATCACACTTGATGTCGAAACTCTAGAAGATATAGAATCCTTCACATACCTGGAAAGAATCATCGATGAACAAGGAGGTTCAGATGTTTACATAGAGGTGAGGATTGGCAAAGCAAAGGCCGCATTTCTACAATTGAAGAACATGTAGCAGTAAATAAATCCTCAAACTAAATAGCTCTGTAAGTTTTCGACATTGGATGCTGACCATATGTTTTAGTTGACTCAACTAGCTAAAGGATGTAACGCTGTGCTCATCATCTACCGCAATCGCCAGTCAGATCAAATCAGAGAATTCCGATATAATGGTTATCATCCACAACCCTTAAACTACGCATCAAACAGATGGCAACAGGTAAGGAAACCTTACTTTGTGACACATCTACAGGTAGGGATCGCCCAATCTTGCCGAAACATTATCGAAGCAATGTCTTCAATACATCGCACAAACTTTCTCATCCAGGTGTTCGTGCAGCCATCAAGCTCATAGCAGAACGGTTTTGCTGGTCTGGCATGAATAAAGACGTGAGGAAGTGGGCACGCTCCTGTGTAAGCTGCCAAAAATCTAAGGTCATCAAACACAATAAATGTCCCTTAGGCTCATGTAAAACTCCCGATGCTCGTTTCGACCATGTTCATCTGGATTTGGTAGGACCTTTACCAGATTCAAATGGATACTCTTACCTCTTAACCTGTGTAGATCGTTTCACTCGATGACCAGAAGTAGTACCTATCAAGGACATCACTGCTGAAACAGTGGCCCGCACCTTCGTCGAACGATGGGTAACAAACTTCGACTGCCCTTCAACCATCAATACAGATCACGGACGTCAGTTTGAATCTGAACTTTTCCGTCGTCTGACCACACTTTTAGGAATCACTCGCTTCCGAACAACCGCCTACCACCCACAAGCGAACAGGTTGGTAGAACGTTTTCACCGACAACTAAAAGCTTCACTTTCAGCTGCGAAAGTTTCACGGTTGACCGACGCTCTTCCACTCGTCTTACTAGGTATTCGCAATGCAGTGAAAGCTGACATTGGACACACTGCAGCTCAACTCGTTTATGGAACGACACTTCGACTTCCAGGAGAATTCGTGGATCCTTCTTCCTCTTCAATGAACATGAATTTAACCTCCTATACGAACAAGCTTACAAACGCGACGCATTCAGTTAAACCTGCTTCCACTCGACCACAATCCACCGATGTTTTCGTTCAACCTGACTTACGATATAGTTCACACGTTTTCGTTCGTCGAGACTCGCATCGACGACCACTCCAATCAGCATACGACGGACCTTTCAATGTTCTTCAACGCGAATCTAAGTACTATATATTCGATAAGAACGGAACAAACGATAGCATCAGCACTGATTGACTTAAAGTAGCGTTTTTAGAAGGAAGTCCCATCCACATCGATTTTCGTCCGGTACAGTCAAACGACACGGTTCCTCATCCGACAGCCAGCACGCACGATGACATTTCGTCAGTATCTGGAAGTAAACTTAAAACAACGCGTTCTGGAAGAAGAGTAAGATTTCCAGAACACCTAACCGACTATTGCACGTAAAGCACTACTCGACATTTTATATTATTTCGATCTTTCTTCTTACGATATATATTAATTTTTTTCAAAAAAATTCCAATATGCTCGTATATTTATATTTTTATTCAAAAAAATTCTTTAACGCTATTACGTGTGCATGAGTTTATTTTCCTTTTTTTTCGCCGACATTACGTTTTTACGTACATACGAGTGCATTTTGACATGCACTTACATTTTCCTTTTCCAGGACGGCTGAAAAAAAACGATGCAGTTTACAAGGAGCAGAAATTTTCATTGTACTTTTTTTTACTATGTTGTACCTCGGTCCCATATAGTAAGGAAAGACGACCAGACACTGCTAGACTTAGTAAGCTATCAGAAGAGTGTTTACCAACGACAGGCTCGTTGGGTTTAAACTTCTGGCTGGCCACGTCTTAGGGTCATCACTGCCCCACTAGGGGGGGAGTGATCTGTAGCGGTAAATAAATCCCCAAACTAAATAGCTCTGTACGTTTTCAACATTGGATGCTGACCATATGTTTTAGTGGACTCATCTAGCTGAAGGAGCTTGGTCATACATCCGCACCAGATCACGTGTGGTAACGCTGTGCTCAACATCTACCGCAATCGCTAGCCAGATTAGATCAGAGAATTCCGATATATTGGTAATCGCCAAATACACTCTTCCGATCTCCTCGACTCTGCCTTGTGATTTCTCTTGGTGGGTACAAATTATATTAGGTGTTGCTGGTAAAAGCGTTGTTAAACACTGAATACCTGTATCATCTTCAAACATATGGAACTAAAAGCAACATTCAACCAATATCACATTCAGAGTCTTGAGTACGAACGTCAAGGCAGTTCTACTGTACAGAGCTTAGACTTGGAGAAATACAATAACCACAATCAAGAAGATACAAGTATTTGTAAATATTTGTCTACGCAACATCCATTGGCCGGATACCATCAGCGACAGGCTTATGTGGGAGAGAACAAACCAGCTGAAGAGGAAAAGACGATGGAAATGGGTAGGATATACACTACGAAAATAGTCAAAGTGCATCACGAGACAGGACCTAACTTGGAATACTGAAGGGAAGCGGAAAAAAAGGCCAAAGAACACATTACATCGGGAAATAGAAGCAGACATGAGATAGATGAATAACGACTGGAAAGTATTGCGGCATGTTCTTTCATGAGATGTAAGAGGCATAAGTAAGCAAGTATATGACTACTTGTTAATCCACGATGCTTTTGAAATCTACTTCTAACTTTCTTCATTTTATAGAAAATGCATTAAAGCCACATTCTGTATGGCTTTTACACGTGATCAAACGCAGTTCTGATGTTAACCATGTTTCTGAAATGGCACTGGATTTAAGTTAAATTGAGTTCACCAAGCTAATAAGCTCAAATATTTTATTTAATAGGCTACGGAAATTTGTGTGGCATACTTCCAATTCGGTGAAGAACTTCGTCGCACCACTCGGAAGGGTTTAAGTATCGTACTGCTCCAAAGCTTCCAGCCTGAAAACATCCAAATGGAGGGATTCTTCCGATTCCGACAGCGCTCATTTATTTCCGCTGTGCGTCCCTTCATAAGGTCAAACAGGTCGATACACACGGACATATATCCAGGATCTAGTCATCTTCAGTGGATTTCCTGGTATCGGGTTTCTTTCCTCAGAGAAAGCATAAGTAACCCCTAAGAAGAGACTTGTCTACATACTTCTGAAATCCTCCTTCTATCCTATTACGTAAAGCTTAAAAATGCTAAGTCAGGAACCTATTCTAAAAACATCATAATGCTTTTGTTCGGATTTAAAGCTGAAATCCAGATTCCGCTTATTGGTTTCTAAAGAACTGACAGCTGTTGAGTGTTTATCTGGGAGCAATTTCCTAGTCATTTTCAGTCAATAAATCAACGAAGGAACCAGCAGAACTACTGTTGAACGTCGAGTTTCCCACAAACACATACAAAATAGATTGCGTTTCCATTTATGTGCACGTCGTGAAAGTCTGATAACGAGGCAAACCCTGACGTGGAATCCTGAGTGTAATGAAGAGAGGAAGACCAAAGGAAACATTGCGCTGGAAATTAAGGGTAAGCATCAAGAGAGTGGAGTGACCGTTGGAAACAATTGGATAGGATAGCCCAGGACAGAGTTGGTTGGAGAGTCATGGTTGGCAGCCTATGTTGCAGGAGAGTAGGTTTGTGTGCCGGACATGGAAGTAGTGACTATAGATCCATCTTCTATTTCAGCAACCTTGATTCTGTAAGAACCGATTGTTTATCGACGAAATTTAGACGTCATTCTTTTAATAATTAGCTGATTGAAACCCATTACTGTATATAAGGTTTTTGTACTGTCAAAACCCATTAGATAGCGTGGAGAGAACCTTACAGAGCATACTAAAAAAACCTAACGATTTAATAATTGACAAATATTTCTACTTTTATACTTAATTCCGTGTTCGTTCAACCATGCGAAACTGTAGCAAGTTATGTTTGAGTCTTAATCAAGAATCTATTTTTATTCAACGTTTCTTACAAAAAAACTCTGGATTTATTAGTTTTGAAATAGCATACGTAAATTTTTCACCCTGTATGAAGCGTCCATAAAAATCCCAGATAGTAACATGAATAGATAAAAAATAACTATTAAAAAAATTCATCTGTTTATTTCATCCCTATCTAGATTGAATAAACACTTTTACCGTATAAACAACACAAAATTTAAAACCGTTTGAAAATTTAAAAGATACGTGACTCATGATATTTGATTGATGAAACACTTAGTTTTTGACACAATCTTAGATGAACCGATATCATAAAAAGAACGTGGAAAAATTTAAAATGTACAATACTATTTTAAGTGGTATACGATAATGAAGATCACAAAGTAAATGGTATCGACATGTACAGAAGATTAAAGTACAACACAACACTTAGTTGAATACAAAATTGAAAGAAATACAACAGTATAGGATGTGTAAATGTTTTTCCCTTAATTCTACTATTTATATTTAGTAGAGATGATAACTCCGAACCAGATGCTGGTTGGGAGAATGAATGTGCCCTAATCCCTGATTCCCTTAAATTTTTTATTAATACCCAAAGGAAAGTCTTAATTGTTAATCTACTTGACTACTATAACCCTTAATCCCCTATCCCAACTAAACCTAATTATCCCCGAGTCTTAGCCCTATATGAACACCCAAACTAGTACTCTCAGAAGTAAAAAAAAATAAGAATCATAAAACAAAAAAAAACAGAAGATAAGTAGACTTGGAACTATTTGAAGTTAAAAGGTTAGTTCAGTAGAGAAAACTATGGAAATACCTTAAAATAAAAGATAAAACATATTGTGTTCAAACACTCTTTGACATACCAAAAAAACATGTCAAATATCTAAAAAAGAAACTCAGAAAAACATGTGCAAGTGAAAAATAAGGAAAACAGAGAACTGACAGCGATATTTCCAACGGATGGCGTTATATACGGCAGTGATTGAACCAACGGTGAAACATACAGACTGGAGAATTATTAAAGCGACATTTGTTCTTTTAATTTCATCTAAAAAATAAGTGGATATTACGATAATGAAATGGAGAATCATAACTAAAAAATCGAGAAACAATAAACATACTGAAAGATGAGATAGTAAATCAACATGTGATGATTAATTTATTTGCATTGGTTTGTACCACCAGAAGGGCAATATACTTCTCCAGTACTTTGGATCATATTAGGAAATTGCTTAGAACTTCTAGTTTAGTGACACATCTATAAAATGGTGACGGATATTTTACAATGCCAGTGACAGACAAATAATTCAAAGATCAAATTAGACAGAAGCTAACAAATGAACTGGTATTAAAGGCAAAACAACTGGTTGAAAAATGAAGCTTGCCTATTAGTAGAATACATATCTGGAATAAGCATAATTACATATAATAATAATTACCTGTCATGGGACATATAAGTGGTTTAAGGCGATAAATTTTATGTCACGTCTAAACGGATGAGAGCGGAATACTAAGGCTAATTATTACACGTTGTATTAATAATTGTATGAAATATGACACATGTTTACCAAGTTATGCTCAATGTATCTGTTATAACACAGTGAAGATTAAGTTATAGGTAACTTCCGAAGACTGTTAATAGACTAATATTCTATAAATATTCTTATTCAACAATTACATTACGTATATTTATATTCCTATTATTATAATCTTTATTTTGACCTATAATTTATTATTATACGATTTACGGTTCTTAATCTATGTTCAGTCTATTAATTATTATCTCCCTTGTTCACATCCACTTTTTGGCTTGTGTACACATGTTATTTTCTATTTTATGGTACGTTGTGGTGTGTCTGGTTGATATATAAACCGAGTATGTCTGAAATAAACGATCTGTTTTGATTCGAAGCTGGTATGTGTTCTGGACTCAAGTGAAAGGGATCGGGGGACATATGACCAATAAGGACGCTAGACTGCCCACACCGGTTGAACGTCATTGGTTGGCCTAGTGTGAAGATTCGTATAAGTCGTATTCGGATTGGTAGATAATTCGTGTGATAGAAAAAGGCAGATATACCAAGGTCATAACAGTGTCTGAAACCAACCATCTTCAATCAATCATCTGTAATTGATCGGATGAAAGTAACACGTTACTTCGGAAAACATATCGTTTTCCTTTTAGTTACAAAGTTCCTATCCTTACTCTATCAAGTATTATGTGATCATGTTGCATTGACGATTGCATATTTTCTAAACATCAACATTGCAAACTTAGCAGCATAGAACTTATGGATAAGACAATGGTTGTGTTACGAAAACACTGTCACTTGTACAGGAGCACAATGTTATCATGCATTCACGTCTTAAAACATTTCGACCAACATTCCCGGCAATTTAACGGAGAAACAGACTGACTGTAGTCATATCACTTACACATAACAAGTGATGCTACAGATAAATTAACGTTCTGTAATATGAAATTCAAATAAATTACATGGATACATCGTTTACTCTTTTATCCCGAACGGATATGTAACTTGAGTAACTCGAGTAGACGCCGTTTCGCTAGTGAGGAATAAGGTGTACGAGTACAATAACCAGATACTACAAGTTGGATTAAATTTTTTCGTAATATTTTAACAATTCAATTTAGTCTTTAAGATATATTATAGCAGAAAGCCATCAGTACTTTAAAAACATTGTGTAATATTTTTAAAAAACCTGTTTCTCAGTAACACGTCACAACATACTAACACTGACGAATTCAGCATCGATGAGATGGGTATTTAATATTTTCGATAAGTGACATTTCTTACCGCATTACATGAATCAGTTAACTTGGTTGATCAAAACACTGGATGCCAGATGTAAGACAGTTAACCATACTCGAGGAAAAAACGCGAAGGCCAATTGTAAAAACATTGAATCGACGTAAAAGTGGGTAGGCGCGAACAAAAATTAGGACCAAAACATGCATTACTCAAAAATCAAAAAATCTCAAAGATTGTACTGAAGAGATAACCGTTCACGAAGCATTGGAGGACACTGACTCCAGAATTTACTCCAATCATCTTCTCCAACCTGGACTTTGAATCCATGTAAAATCTGATAGTTAAATAAAGATAACAAAACACAAGAACATTTTCCAGTCATCACACAAATGAAAGCGATTCAATGAAATTAAACAAATTTTTTCACATGATAGTGAAAACAACCGTGTAAGGATTAATGAAATGACCAACGTTTTTGACAATTCACTGTCCCGACTTTAGCTGCTACCTTATGGTAGCGGTCGGTCTTGCATGTCGCGATGAACCAACCGAAATATATTGACTAGGACACTTGTTACGTAATGTCATAACATATCAGGTAAGTTGCCTGGAGAGGGATACGAATAAAAGCAGCAACTTATAATCTAATGGCGGAGTCGTAATGTTGGTAAAACAAAGGTATGATGGAAGGTGTCTTCCACAGAAGATTAGCACCTGTAGTGATGCTGTCTTCTCGAGACGGAGGAAAGCGTTGGGAGGTTGGTCCTAAAAATATACACCTCACCTTGTTCCACAGACTTCTGTTGTCGTTGGTAAGACTTTGGTGTACGCTACTTATGTCTGTAGACATAATCTAAAGTGGAAAAACTGGAAGCAGAAGGCTAAGAAGATAGAGTTGAAGAGGCAGAAAGGGAAATAGAGAGGAATTTTGAAGTCGAAGAATCATACAGAATGTGAAGGAAGTTTTATAAATAAAGTACTTAATGTATGGTTCCTCATCTGAGTCCTCGTTTACTTTCGAAACACGGAGTTAATTTCTTGTAAACTACCCACAAAAACCTCGATTTTGACCAACCCCAAGACATCGGCCGTTAGGCTCTGAGGCAACTCTTCCAGGTCATTAAGACTACTATTAGTAGACTAATTTTCTTCCCAGATTCCTCAAAATATATCTTTTCAAGATAGTTCAGTAATAAACTTTTCATACTCCTATCGCCACCTGAGATCACCTTAAATAACTCAGTCATAAATAATGAACGTTTTAGGTCTTCATCAAGTTAAGCATTTATTACATGTCGAAATGACGAGTTCATTTGAATCACAAACACTTAATTCATTGATACTAACCAAGTTGAAAAACTCAAAAGTTAAGTACAGAATGACTAATCAATTTAGATTTATGCTTAGGTTTAACTGCATTCAGCCTGTGTGTAATTTATGGAATTCAGCTAGAAAGTTAACACTTAACATGGTTTCGACCAGTTTGACCATTCAGCCCTACATTTAGCATAATGTTAGGTAAACTGGACTGTGTAAAATGCTTTTTAAAAAAACTTCATTTTGCTAGGTTTACAACTATATTGACTGAAAGTCAGTACGTTTTTGTCAGACCACTTATTTACATATCAATTTAGAAGCAACATAAATTTTAAACATCTTTGAAGTTAATATTAGCTTTTTGATTAGTAATTCTGACCACCTATGTGGTAGAATAGCAAACACACATAAATGTAAAGCGAGTAAACCTAAAAATTATAGTTTTTTTTTAAAAATAAACCATGTAGTAACAGATGAATTTACTGACGATGCGTTATATATCAAGTAGCGGAAAGATACACTTACAGCATTAAATCTCTCTTTTAAATCGTCTTTAGGATTATTCCAAGAAGCTACAGCGTCACAAAAGAAAAGGAAATCATGCAAGACACCGGCAGGATTGAGCGTAATCAAATTACAAATACCACGAAATGCACTGTCTTTTTCTTCATTGTCCCTTATATTGCGCAAAAACAGACACCTGAAGAGCAAAAAGAAAATCGACTGAGCATGTAACTAAAATAAGTAAGGACATGGAACATGAAATATAAATACGCACATAACAGCAAAATTATCCTGATGGCTAGTAACTGTAAAACTAAACCAAGAGCAAACCTACACTGTTATTTTACGTGAGGGTTTTAAATAATTCAGGAAAATATTAAACACTCGAGGAACTTCTGTAGCTAACCCGCCTTAATTTAAATGTTTAATTTAAAAAATTATCTATAGAATGAAACAACTTGGTATTATTTCAAAAGTTTATAACCAGCTACAAACAAACCACAAAAAAGATGTATCAGGATAAGAATCCCAGTAAACACCTTGAAATCAGATGAGATGGACACTGAAGAACTGACAAATTCAGGGTTGGCTTCATGTTTAAATGAGTTTTTCGAAATGCTAAGCAAAACGGAAAAGAATAAGTATGAAATCTAAGGATATATGTATGTGAAGATTCCTAAAGAATTAATGTCTTCTTTACAAGGATGAAGATCATAGTATCACGCCAGCCTTAGTAAGTGGGATAAAACAATTGTAGAAAAAAATTAACAGAAAGTACACAATATATAGAGCATTAAATAAAGTTGACATATTTGTTAACTCTATAGACTTCTGACATCTTCAAACATGGATTGATAGGTTATCGACTACATTCAGAAAATCGTACATACCATATAACTCATACAAGAAAAGACGCGAAGGGGTATTGGAACGCTAAAATGTTATGTTCAACAATTGTCGGTTGGATTGGAATACCGACAGTTGGGTTTCTCAAACCCAATAAACAAGGGAGCTAAAGTACGTCTTTAAATTACATCAACTGTGAACTTAGTGACCAGTGCTAATAAGATAAAATTTCGACAATTGCATACAAACTGCAGGTTCACATCGAAAAATTCTAACAGGGCCTCTTTTAATCAATGCTAATAAATGAGTCGGAAGTAAACTACAGGCCTTTTCTGGAAGTTCTAAATAGACTACTCCTTCTTAATGATGTATATTTCGGAGTTCCGGTTATTCGGAAAATTTTGCTCTAATTTCATCCTGTTTTTAACTTGGAACAAGTCGAGTAAAATAAGCAAATTACAAGTATCAGACAGTGGGGAACGTAACACGTAGGTAAATCCAACTCATCAAGCCAAATACATTGAATCACTGCTATCATAATAAGATTGGATCAATTTCAGCACCCAGATATTTTATCTTAGATAAGTTATCGGGTGGATCAATCTATTTATTATACAAATGAATATTATTCGTCCACTTGGGATGTTTTCCCAAGTGTATTTATAATATTCAAGCGTTTTGAATTATCGTCTGAACTAGGAATCCCAGAATTAAGGCAAATGAATTAGGAAGTAAGACACAAGCACAAATGAATGTATTGTTTTTGGAATTCGAAATCGAGCATTCAACAAGTACAAAGATATCATTAGTTCGTTCAAACATCACAGTATTATTTATATAAACAGACCTTAACATTTCATGAGCTTTGAGTTTCACCAAAACCTTGCTGCTGAATCATTAACGCACCTGTCATTAATCTCCACAGTCGACAATAGAGTAAAATAATCGATGAAAAATCATCCTTATGAGGACCTTCAGGGATTTGCATCATATCACGAAGCTAACAAATTCAGATGTCTGTGTGTTTATTGGATAGACCATGTGGATGTAGCCACATAACACTAAATTTATTAACTTAAATTTAAAAGATTCTCATATTGACACTCAGTCACCATGACATGCTAGCTACTTACTACGCTAACCAAAGTTAAAAATACAATAACCCTCAAAGACATATTCGAGTGCGAAAGTACAACCAGGTCATAGGAAAATGTTGACATTCTAATACGTCTTGTACGATATACGAAAACGAAAAGACCATAGAGAACCAAACGATCTACCCTCACAATCATTAACTTTTTGGATGTGGTACCTAACTCCGTCTAAAGCTCTTCTATGGTTACTGCCGGTGGTCCCAAAATCCGGATAAAAGAGGGGGTTAGGCAACAACAACCTAACAAGGACAGAGAGAGCCAAGACACAGGTCCAAAATTGAGGCAAACACAATAGTGAAGAGGGCCATCACAACTGATAAGTGGAAGACCTAGCAATGACAGCAGGAAAAGCTGGAAGAAGATATGAGACGACTATACGAAACAAGGAAGAAGCTGGAGGGGAAATATAGTAAACCAGTCAAGAACAAAGAAAGAATACCATTCACTGAGATTCAAGAACAGTGGAACAGGCGGGTGCAACACTATGGAGAGCTCCTCAATAAACTAACCTCAGAACAGCATTCCTAAAGTTGAAGATATGGAACTCAGAACAAATGTCAACTAACATCAAAGTCGAAATCCTCAATACAAACGTCAAGACAGTCCTATTGTACATAGCTGAAACTGGGAGAACCACCAAAACCATCATCAAAAAAGTACAAGCATTTGGCTATACGAGACACTCCAGATTCGTTGGCCGGATACCATCAACAACAGACCACTGTGGGAGAGAGCAAACCAGCTTACGGGTGAAGAAACGCAAGAGGTGAGTCGGACACGGAATTGCAGGAATCATCAAACCGCATAACGAGGCAAACCCTGACGTGGAATCCTGAGTGTAATGAAGAGAGGAAGACCAAAGGACACATTGCGCTGGAAATTAAGGGTAAGCATCAAGAGAGTGGAGTGGCCGTTGGAAACAAATGGATAGGATAGCCCAGGACAGAGTTGGTTGGAGAGTCATGGTTGGCGGCCTATGCTGCACGAGGTAGGGGCTAAGTAAATGAATAAGTGATAACTAAATCGGGGAATCATACATTCGTTTTACAACTTACCACTGACGAATGAAAGTGCTTAGATGAGGAGCCAATTCACCAGGACAAACAAAACCAAGACGTCCAATTGTTATCGCTATATTTGAAGTAAATAGAACAAAGTTTATTTGCATCTATATAAAGTGTTTGTGAAAATAGCTACATTTTGTACTTGACATTTCGGATCGATCTTATTTAGATAACTACGTAAAACCTGAAAATACTGGACAGTTTTGTTTTTGTATGGAGCTTCTCAACAGTCAGCGTGCACAACCCACTTTGGATAGAATCCCAGACACTGGAGGCTTACGGCGAGCTCTTCACACTTAAATTACTAGGTCTGCATCCGATGATTTGAACTTTTGACCTCAATTATATATCATATAGCCACCAACCAAATCTATCGGTGGGCAAATCGCTTGCTAATGACATTATTAGACTATTAGTCACGATTTTTTACTAGAGCTCTGGCAATTACCTCCCAAAAATGGGCATCCATGGGATTGAACGACGGTCGTACATTCTAAACTAACGGAATCTAGAAGGTTAAGGGCTAGCTGCGGGTCCTGAAGATCCTAAATTTGATACCAGAGGACCTTGAATAAGCATCACTGTCATGCACTAGGACGAAGTAGCTGTCCAGTTTTTCCTATTTTTTAGAGGTTGTCCAACCAAGGTCAACCCGTGATGTAAACTACATCCAAACTTTGTAAACACTGAACACTACTATTGTCAAGTCAAGAAAGATGTCAATCAGAAATCATATAGAAAACTACAGGTTATTTAGGTTAGTAAAGTCATGTTACAATTAACAATAAAGAATGAGAGCTGTACATGAAGTGTGTGCCGATTCTGATTACCACCACTAGAAAAGTAATCATTTGTTGTACGATTAGGCTGAAAACAAAATACTGAAATTATTCGATCATTTGGTCTATTAGAGTGAGATAAACAAAAATACCCCGATTCTGACATAAACGTTTACCGGTCGAAATCACTCCGCTTCATAAAACCATTGAGACACTATAACTACATGAATGGGATTTTAGTGACCTAAATATAAAAGTTAAGGTTACCCCTTTGTGCTGTTGTGAAGTGTAATCGTTATGTCACCTACAAGACTACAAATTCAAAATGCTGCTAATCTAATTACATTATTCTATTTGACAGTTATGTTCTTATCTGATCGTGGTGTCAATGAGCATTTGCGAAAAAAAGAGGACAAACAATTCATATAAACTCAGTAGTAAATGCTTATACAGCGCACTGAAATTTAGACCTGTATGGGCGTAAGAATTAAATCTAGAAATTTTCCTCACAACAGTAAACTTTCCTGGAAATCGATATCATGAAAAACACATTGGTACGAAAATTTGTGAATATGCGACAAAACGTTTACATACCAGTATTTTCGTGGAGTGTCTTAGGTGTGCTTTGACGATTGATAATTTCTATCAAGGGATGAATGAATAAAGAAGCAAACGGTGTCATCCCTTCACCTGAGAAACAAAAAACGCAATTATATCTCATATCAAACATTAGCAGTAAAATGTTTGGCTTAAATTGTCACGCTGATGCTTTCCTATTAGCAAAATAAAATTTGACGACAATAAAAAACGGGATACATTTAGCCAGTCAATTGTAGGTACGACGAAATCTGGGACAAGTGTGAACGGTTTAAGTTGATATAGCATAGTAAGAATAAATTAAACTGGAAAATGAAACGAAAATAATACCATTTTCTGTGGGACGAGTCAGATAAAAGACCAAAAAATAGGGAGTGGTATCAAGTTTAATACTTAAAGATGAAGTGGCCGGATTACTGAAATCTAAGATTTACACATTTAGGGAGCTCGCAGTTGCATGCTGGTTTAGAGCTAATTTAATTCGTAGTCATCGAACTTGGTTGCTACACAGTAAGTTCGCATGGTTGGGAACAATATTTGGAATTTATGTTAGTTATACTTGTGTTCGGCTCTATTTCATTCTCCATACTACTATTACACGTATTGGCATTTGATGAGTAAACACGTGCAATCTAAATATCGAGAATCCAAATCAACAATTTACAAAGGACACAACTGGTTCACTTTTATCTGTAACATTACATTATGAATCTGTTATGCCCCGACAAGAATAATGAATGGTAACTTTTGGGGTCCATTTATGGACAAATACTAAACGTACATTTCTATTGTATAATTATTAAGTAAGTAACCTATGCATATTCATATTCCTCTTATTATGAGCTTTATTTTGACCCATAAACTATTATTATACGTTTTAACATTCTTGAGTTATACCCAGTATATTAATTACTACCTCGCACATTCACAACCACATCTGGTTAACTCTTGTACAAATGTTGTTACATATTTTATTGGTACGTTGTGGTCTGTTTGATTGGTATATAAACTCAGTACGTTTGAAATATGATTCATATCGCAGAGACTTGGACTGGTGTTCTGGACTTAACTGGTCGGGATGGGCGGAAAGCAGGACCAATCAGAACTCTAGGCTGCTCATACGGGTTCACGCGTCATTGATCCGATCGATAAGTCCCTGCTCTCTAATCGGCGGTCACAAGTTATAAAAAAATCATAATATAATTCATGTTTTGTTCTATCGTAAATACCATAACCCCAATTACCTAAATTTTGATCACAAATAATATTCAAAATGCTAAATACATGTGAACTGAATAACTAAAAATCACTCACCCAATTGAATACAAATTTCTCCGATTGCCCAAATAGCATTGTTACTAACAGATATATGCTCAGAACTGAGATTATTAGCCAAAATTGTCATAAACTGACCAATCTGAGGTTGGATGTGCGCAAAGCATGCTTTTGTTAAATCACCCAAGAGAGCAAAACTACTCTGGCGGACGTCTGGTTGAGCGTCTTGAGCTGCTTCACATAGTAACTTTACCAAGGGGCTACTTGATACTAAATGTTCCATCTGAGACCCAAGACCTTCCATAAGCCCACTTAGGAGATCCAGAGAAATCACCATAAAGTCTTTGTCTGGTGGTTCATATACATCTGGTTGTTGAGCATGTAGCTGTCAAAAATGAACATTTAAACGTATTCAACGAAACAATTACATTAAGATGTTCACTGAACATCTAACAGTACTTGTATCCCAACTCTTATAGCAAACCAAAGAATTATTCGGGTAGATATTTGCGCAAGTAAAGTCAACGTGGATTTGAAAGGAAACAAGGGATTTATAAATACGGGTTGCTGTTTCAACTATTATTGAGTAATTTCACAACGAAATTATTGACTGAAAAAATTATGATACTAAGGAACATCAAGATCTTTAATAACCATTTCAGAAACCGTCAAGTTAAAAGTTACATTTGAATTCATCAATAATTTACAGAGATGGACTATGTAACTTTAATACGCGTAAGTATTTCTAAATTTTTTACACTAGCTAACGCTGTACATGAATGGCTAAATGTAAAAAAAATATGGAAGTTAACTGACTGCATTTTGCTGCGTCTACGCTTATAACTAAAATCAGTTGACATTATGTAAGTTAAGAGATGAACACCATGATTTATATCACCAATATAAATTGTTTAGAAAATAAGACAAACTTACCTTACTGAGTTGTATTGTTCTATCAATTAAATTAACACATCGACTAAACACAGGAGCGCAGTAGGGTAGGAAACCTGTTCCTAGAGCAGTAGCCATGCTAGAAAGGCACTCCAGAAGGGGGAATAAGTCTTTCTCATCATCTCGTAAAACGTTCCACTTTTCAAAAAGCGGTGGCATAAGCATCTCTATGAAATCCTTTGGGGAAATTACTAGATCAATTTAAATTTACCGGTCGATTGAGATGATGACCAACAGAATCTGCAAGTGTACCTATGGCGTCATACAAAATAAACAAATTTTTGTGTTGATATTGTTTAAGCGCGTACACAAGAGTTCGTAGGATGATGTCCAGATATGGGACGAGATCTGTACATGCTTCTTCTTCTAGAGTAGCGAAAGCAGAACAGGCTGCCTCCTGAACACGTTTGTTACAATCCAAAATTCTTTTGAGGAGCTACAACAATTAAGTTTAAAGGTTGACTTACCTCAACCATTAAAGGCTTGAAGTATTGCTCATGAGGTTGTCCAACGATCCAATGAGAATAACGGCTTAATGTCCAACAAGTTATACTACGTATGAGAGGCCTATCATCCGATAGACAACCAATCAGGAACGGACATAACTCTGGAAGGTATGGAATCATGCCCTTCATACAACCTTAACGAAATCATTCACTGTAATGAACTAACCTTCTGCAATAGCACCAAGAACCAAAATACCAGACTCCTTAAGTTCCCACTGAGGAGAAAACAAAAGTTCTTTTGTGATTGGCAACAAAATAGGTAGAAAGTCTGTGTGGAACACACTAGCCAACACATCAAGGGCTGCAGCAGAACATTTCCTGAGAGTCCAGTTGGAAACGTAATCGTCGTCTTCATCTTCGTCATCATCCTAAACAAAAACCACTAGAAGGATGATTGTATTTACCTCTGGAGAGAAAAGTTTATTTTTTGTCTTATGAAACCGTGGGCGAATATCGCATTCCTTGTCAGGCAGATGAGCATCTTCTTCTAAATCATTCTACAAAAATATTTTGGTTTAAATTTCTTACTCGAAGTAACACCATATCACTTTCTGAATACTTCATTCCACAGACTAAGACTGGAATAAGTCGCCCGATATATGGCGACAGAGCTTGGTGGCACACAGGTTGTTCAGAAAGCGAGAGCCAAAATTCACATGCCTCTCTTGAAATATTTTCATCGTTTTCTTGAGTGCGAAGAAGCATAAACTATTTTTTTCAGTTAAAAACACATAGCTTTACCTCGATGATGTCAGGTAAATTAGGAAGTAATTTATCTAAGTGAGCTTCCAGAAGCTGTACAAATGCAGAGCAAACATGTCGTCGAACATTTGGATCTTCATCTTCGGCTAAAGCGAACAAACACTCCAGGAACTCGTTAACAAAGTGTAGGAGAACCTGAGATTGACTATGTATGAAGTGGTTGATGCATGCAAGAGCATGAGACCTAAATTACACGAAATTTTATTTATTAGGTTTTTGAAAACTGTACTCGTTACAGATACTGCATTAGACAAATAAATAGAAAAGCAACTAGGCCTTAGTATAAGTAGGACAAAAGTAAGTCTAAAAATTTGAATATGATCAAGTTGAATAACCAAGAACAAATTGCAGGACCAGTAAAATATTGAGCTTGCGAAACTAATTAACTGAGTTACTTACAAATTTTACGGTCATGGTCAACAAGCTTTTTACACATAACTATCACCTGGCAACATCGTTTTGAGCATTTGCCTGTATTAGCTCAATATTAAAGTGAGTCCCCAGTTTTCCGTAACAATCGACTGACGGTAGGATCGAGTTAAATCTGCAAACACAAACTTTTAGTGACAAATGTTCGAGTAAATGATGCTCTGACAAACGACATTGTATGACCCTACAATGAAAAGCTGCAGTTTAATACGATGTGTACATTTCTAATTCAATATGGGATTTTTTATCTACTCGGTCTCAAACTAGATTCAAGTGATAACTCGCAGCTTAATGGAAAGTCAGAACTGGGTCAAAACTACGACCTCATAGTCGAAAGTGACTATTTTGGTATAGATAACAGTAAACAACTTAAATGAAAGATAAATACATTCACGAAGACATTTTAGTGTAATTTATTACATCTTGCAGCTGCATCAACAAAAACAGGAAGCTTGAGCAATAAAAGTTTCACAACATAATGTAGGTCTAGAAGATACTTGTCTCAGATTTAAACGCCTGTTGGCAGCACTAGTTATAAGCCACTTTAGGTTATAAAAAAATATTTCAAAACCATTACGCTCAAACGTGCAAACCTGCGACAGAAAGCCCCTAGACTTAAAGATTCGAGGGTGAGGACCAAGGAACAGTATCATAATAATGTAACGTCAGTTAAAAATCATAAAACTTAAAAGGCTCTTGAGTGTTCATTAATGTGATCAATTGCGTTAATTCAGATGTACGGGAACAATTTTTAATGTTTTCTACAACTTTGTCAAAGCAGATTAAGTCAAATGACACGCTACACGTTAAAATCCAGAGATAAATAGAACCCTCGCTTACACTATTTTTTTTACCAAGAAATTAACTTTAGGGACCTACTGCTGGGAAGAGTCATTTGTCATTAAATGACCCACTAAAACAATAGATATTTGAGGGAATAACCACTACAAGCTCCTTATTGCCAGAGAAAATATATTAACTGAATCTGATAGTAAACTTCACGAGTGCGCAACAAATATGAAGCATATCTCACCTGATTTTTGGACTGTCATGTCTTGAGTATTGTAAGAATTTCGGAATAAGCACTCCTATAGGACAACCAATACGATCAGTTTCCAGTTGAGATGAAGAATCTTCGCATATTTTCTCGATCGCGCCAAAAGCACCCTAGAGACTTATTTATTCATCAACATAACGAACCTCCATAAAATTAATATCATGAGAATCAATACATTCCACCAACTTTGGAAGCAACTCTGGCCAATTTTGTATACCGTCACTAGTTACAATAGTGGTAATAAGAATTCCGACAATTGATCTGATCATAGGTGAACTATCACTGATGCACCGTAAACACCCATCCTTGATGTAGCTAATAAGTTCAGGAGGGCATCTCTTAAAGTGACTTTTCAGATTGTTTTTCAGAATAAGTCCACTAAGAGAACGCGTGCTGTCACCTGGATAATATTTATAGTTAGATCATATTTTAAACTTACTTTCCGAACCTGCATTTGTCAAGATATAAGCTAGGTATTTGTTAAAATCAGGAACATTGTTCAACTCATTCAATTTCTAAAACTGTTAAAGAAGGAACTTGATTAACCTCATGCACAACCCTTTGAACGTTTGTGTCAGTTGATTGAGAATTATGTAGCAAATCCAACGTTTGCCGTATCCCATCCTCATCTGGAAGCCAACTCATTTTTACGAAATAACCGCCGATTGTCTTCAGAGTGTCGTCTAAACAATATTAATTCCTCAAAGCCATAAAAGTATGTTTCCTATGACTGAAATGATCAAAAATGGATTTCTAACGAGTTTTTTTTCAATTTATAGCTTTCGTCATCAGGCAGTGAAGTTAAGGTTTCTCCAGTGAGCAGCACACAAACCGTTCCGTTATCAAGAATCTTACCCAGAATAAGCATGGCTTTTCAGTGAATTTATGGCAGTCAAAGCCCAGAAAACCCACTTTTTATTTAAACATGTTTAACCTATATAAATTTGTTTTGTGCGTATTTAAAAGACGCATGTCTCGGTAAATATTTCCTCAAAATTAATACTTCCGTAAGTCTACAAAATGGAGACCGACCTCTTTCGTTTTACTACACACACTCTGTCTGAAGGTTCTTGATCACCCAAACGCAATACTTAGCGAGTGAGCACGCCTTATTGTGTGTCCTTTGCAACTAATGTATAGCTTAAATCAAACGCTTCTCACTAAATCGGCGACTTCCCAAATATACTTTCGGACTTATTCACCCCTGACTTCTGATCTGACTGGGAAAATATCACTAAAGGTGTCACAACCATTAAGAGTTTGACGACGCTTTTTCCAGTAACATCTTTATAATGGAAGCATGCCAACCCAGTTAGATCAAAGTCAGGAGTGAAGGAGTTCGAAGTTATATTTGAAAGGGCATCGAGAACTCGAGAAGCGTTTGATCTAAGCTGGCTATCAGTTGTAGGAGATGCTTAGCGCTGAGCACCTACTGGTGATTTAGAGCGGATATGTGACCGATCGCCTTGAGCTCGATGTGTCGATCAAAACCAACGCTGTTAACATCAAATGTCGAAGACTTAAAAAACTATTCATATTGAGAATTTAATTGTTTCAACATGTCTTTCGATTATAAAGGTTTTACAGGAGAAAGCACCGTCAAACCCGGAATATCTGAGGCATCCTTAGGCACATAAACGAGTTGGAAACCGTAGATGATAAATAAATGTCAAAGTCACTATTTTCTGAATCGTATTCAGTTTGTACCTATTTCAGTATTGGTTGTAAATCATTTAGTGTAAACTGTAATGTTGCATTCCTGGTGTTATTACGTAAAAACTATTGACTGATATTTAAAAATACACTATTTCTTAATTTACTATTCCTTTCCAACCCTTTCACATCCAACTTGCTGGTTCACAACCGACTGAATGCAAGGTCCCAATGGAGTTTCAGTTTTCGCGCTGCTAATCTTGTCTGATTGAGCTAGCATACTTTTCGGGCATGAGCATCTCCATGTTGCGTCCCTGCTTTTGGCTAATATTGTGCCTGGATTCCCAATACATGACTGGAGCTCAGGGTCAGCTGGGATATCTAGAGAAGGTACTTATGGTCTTTACGTTTAATGATTTTACCTGGACAGTTTGTGTTGACATTTTCGTTAATATTTGTTGTACCAACTGATTGACTCGTTGTAACTGCTGAATAAGTGGACTCTTGAGTCATTACTTATTCATTGGTTTTGGTTTGGATGTTATGGATAGTTAGTTGTGCTGTGCTTCACTCTCGACTTTGTATGTGGATACCAGGCTCGCAACTCAGTGGAATCGTGTTCAAATACCATTGGCTTGTTGGTGCTTAGTAATCGTATGAAGTCCAGTTGTACTCAGAAGTTTAGTTAAGGATCGTAACAGTTCAGATACTGGTTGTAATCGACGTGAAGCAATGCAAACTTGCTTGAAAATAGCCTAATTCATTCTACTTTGACAGGAGCCTTACCAAAAGTAGAGGAACATAGTTGTAACGTGTAATGGCCATTGGAATGTAACCCAAGGGACATTTATCACTTTTAGTCACCTCGAGTTGTTGATAACTTACACAGAAGCGTGTACATTCCCACACGACTTTTCTCATTCATAGGCAGCGAAATTGTTGGAGAATTGGCTTGACAATTCCCGGAATTACTAAACAAGCCATAATGTATGATGCTTTAATGAAACTCCTTTCACGCTTCATTGATGTTCACTCTCCTAAGGCTCAATAGGTGAAGAATTTCATCTGATACGCCAACGAAAGTTTGCAAACCCACTGAGGATTTGACTCGGCTTGATGACTGTCAGTTTTAAGTAAAATAGAATAGCTTCCGCTTGTTTTTCAATGAGCAAATAACTTCAATCGGCTGACTTTTTCAACTGGCTTAATAATAATAATAATAATAATAATAATAATAATATATATTTCTGCATGTGCAGGTACACACCGTTTTTACAGGTATGATCTATAAATTACAACATTTGTTGGTTCACAGAATGTTTCCCAACTTATTAAGTTTATAGTTGTTATTAAGTGAAATCGTAGAGCGCTTGCTGTAAACTATGACCTTGAGAGGACGCGTACATCAAGTTTGTTCCAAACGTCAGAGGTTTCATAGCCGTGCTCTCAGAGCAAGATTCTGAGGAAAAAAGAGAAACAGAAGAGCAGCAAGGCACTTGGATATGAACGCAAAACGTTGCTTAACATAATGTAGTAGAACGGAGAGAGGTATAACAAATTAGAATAAATTCATATTATATCTTGTTAGTGAAATGAAGTCAGAGGCTCCATATTAAAGAATGTACTAATAAAGAACAATGAGTTGTGATGTTTAACAAGTTGGAGTAAGCTCACATGAATGTATGTACTATGACCTGGAAACGTGCTACGAACGGACAGACCAGCATGTTCATCAACCACCCGTACCTAGCTAATTTCTGCGTATTTCAAGGTCGTGTTTCGTTCTCATACTTAAACGGTTGTTTTACGTCAGTTTCGAACTTCATAAACCTCCTCGTTAAGAAACGCCAATGAATTGGAAGTGTATCATATCATGAAAGGACACATGCAAAGAAAACTACCATTTTACACTAGCTCAGATATTAGAGGACTGATATGAACTCCTACCATCTACTTCGTTGGTAGAGCATGCTGGCGAAGACACTCATGGACAAATACACCATATACTTTGATTATATCACATGAGCAATGTTGTTTTATCATCTTTTTCCCTTACTTATTGAGAATTTAATTGTTTCAACATGTCTTTCGATTATAAAGGTTTTACAGGAGAAAGCACCGTCAAACCCGGAATATCTGAGGCATCCTTAGGCACATAAACGAGTTGGAAACCGTAGATGATAAATAAATGTCAAAGTCACTATTTTCTGAATCGTATTCAGTTTGTACCTATTTCAGTATTGGTTGTAAATCATTTAGTGTAAACTGTAATGTTGCATTCCTGGTGTTATTACGTAAAAACTATTGACTGATATTTAAAAATACACTATTTCTTAATTTACTATTCCTTTCCAACCCTTTCACATCCAACTTGCTGGTTCACAACCGACTGAATGCAAGGTCCCAATGGAGTTTCAGTTTTCGCGCTGCTAATCTTGTCTGATTGAGCTAGCATACTTTTCGGGCATGAGCATCTCCATGTTGCGTCCCTGCTTTTGGCTAATATTGTGCCTGGATTCCCAATACATGACTGGAGCTCAGGGTCAGCTGGGATATCTAGAGAAGGTACTTATGGTCTTTACGTTTAATGATTTTACCTGGACAGTTTGTGTTGACATTTTCGTTAATATTTGTTGTACCAACTGATTGACTCGTTGTAACTGCTGAATAAGTGGACTCTTGAGTCATTACTTATTCATTGGTTTTGGTTTGGATGTTATGGATAGTTAGTTGTGCTGTGCTTCACTCTCGACTTTGTATGTGGATACCAGGCTCGCAACTCAGTGGAATCGTGTTCAAATACCATTGGCTTGTTGGTGCTTAGTAATCGTATGAAGTCCAGTTGTACTCAGAAGTTTAGTTAAGGATCGTAACAGTTCAGATACTGGTTGTAATCGACGTGAAGCAATGCAAACTTGCTTGAAAATAGCCTAATTCATTCTACTTTGACAGGAGCCTTACCAAAAGTAGAGGAACATAGTTGTAACGTGTAATGGCCATTGGAATGTAACCCAAGGGACATTTATCACTTTTAGTCACCTCGAGTTGTTGATAACTTACACAGAAGCGTGTACATTCCCACACGACTTTTCTCATTCATAGGCAGCGAAATTGTTGGAGAATTGGCTTGACAATTCCCGGAATTACTAAACAAGCCATAATGTATGATGCTTTAATGAAACTCCTTTCACGCTTCATTGATGTTCACTCTCCTAAGGCTCAATAGGTGAAGAATTTCATCTGATACGCCAACGAAAGTTTGCAAACCCACTGAGGATTTGACTCGGCTTGATGACTGTCAGTTTTAAGTAAAATAGAATAGCTTCCGCTTGTTTTTCAATGAGCAAATAACTTCAATCGGCTGACTTTTTCAACTGGCTTAATGTATGTACTATGACCTGGAAACGTGCTACGAACGGACAGACCAGCATGTTCATCAACCACCCGTAGCTAGCTAATTTCTGCGTATTTCAAGGTCGTGTTTCGTTCTCATACTTAAACGGTTGTTTTACGTCAGTTTCGAACTTCATAAACCTCCTCGTTAAGAAACGCCAATGAATTGGAAGTGTATCATATCATGAAAGGACACATGCAAAGAAAACTACCATTTTACACTAGCTCAGATATTAGAGGACTGATATGAACTCCTACCATCTACTTCGTTGGTAGAGCATGCTGGCGAAGACACTCATGGACAAATACACCATATACTTTGATTATATCACATGAGCAATGTTGTTTTATCATCTTTTTCCCTTACTTACCTACTTACACCTAATGTCCTCGTTGAGAAGCATGCGTCATCCCCCAGCGTCCATCATAGAACTCTGTCTCGAGCAATCCCCTTCAGTTGTTTCCAGTCGCTACTGATTTATCTGATGTCTGCTCCTAATTCCCGTCCCAATGTGTCTCTTGGTCTTCCTCTATTTATTGCCTTCCTTTCTTTCATGATTTCAAGTTAGTGCGTACCCCGTGATGCGGTTTGATGATTTCCACCGTGTGTGTCTTATCTACTTCC